ACTCATGCACACACACACACTCACGCGCACACACACACTCACGCACACACACGCTCACGCTCACACACACTCACACACACACACACACACACACTCACACACACTCACACTCACACTCACGCTCTCACACACACTCACACACACACACTCTTACTCACACACACTCACACACACACACTCTTACTCACACACACTCACACACACACACTCTTACTCACACACACTCACACACACACACTCTTACTCACACACACTCACACACACACACTCTTACTCACACACACTCACACACACACACTCTTACTCACACACACTCACACACACACACTCTTACTCACACACACTCACACACACACACTCTTACTCACACACACTCACACACACACACTCTTACTCACACACACTCACACACACACACTCTTACTCACACACACTCACACACACACACTCTTACTCACACACACTCACACACACACACTCTTACTCACACACACTCACACACACACACTCTTACTCACACACACTCACACACACACACTCTTACTCACACACACTCACACACACACACTCTTACTCACACACACTCACACACACACACTCTTACTCACACACACTCACACACACACACTCTTACTCACACACACTCACACACACACACTCTTACTCACACACACTCACACACACACACTCTTACTCACACACACTCACACACACACACTCTTACTCACACACACTCACACACACACACTCTTACTCACACACACTCACACACACACACTCTTACTCACACACACTCACACACACACACTCTTACTCACACACACTCACACACACACACTCTTACTCACACACACTCACACACACACACTCTTACTCACACACACTCACACACACACACTCTTACTCACACACACTCACACACACACACTCTTACTCACACACACTCACACACACACACTCTTACTCACACACACTCACACACACACACTCTTACTCACACACACTCACACACACACACTCTTACTCACACACACTCACACACACACACTCTTACTCACACACACTCACACACACACACTCTTACTCACACACACTCACACACACACACTCTTACTCACACACACTCACACACACACACTCTTACTCACACACACTCACACACACACACTCTTACTCACACACACTCACACACACACACTCTTACTCACACACACTCACACACACACACTCTTACTCACACACACTCACACACACACACTCTTACTCACACACACTCACACACACACACTCTTACTCACACACACTCACACACACACACTCTTACTCACACACACTCACACACACACACTCTTACTCACACACACTCACACACACACACTCTTACTCACACACACTCACACACACACACTCTTACTCACACACACTCACACACACACACTCTTACTCACACACACTCACACACACACACTCTTACTCACACACACTCACACACACACACTCTTACTCACACACACTCACACACACACACTCTTACTCACACACACTCACACACACACACTCTTACTCACACACACTCACACACACACACTCTTACTCACACACACTCACACACACACACTCTTACTCACACACACTCACACACACACACTCTTACTCACACACACTCACACACACACACTCTTACTCACACACACTCACACACACACACTCTTACTCACACACACTCACACACACACACTCTTACTCACACACACTCACACACACACACTCTTACTCACACACACTCACACACACACACTCTTACTCACACACACTCACACACACACACTCTTACTCACACACACTCACACACACACACTCTTACTCACACACACTCACACACACACACTCTTACTCACACACACTCACACACACACACTCTTACTCACACACACTCACACACACACACTCTTACTCACACACACTCACACACACACACTCTTACTCACACACACTCACACACACACACTCTTACTCACACACACTCACACACACACACTCTTACTCACACACACTCACACACACACACTCTTACTCACACACACTCACACACACACACTCTTACTCACACACACTCACACACACACACTCTTACTCACACACACTCACACACACACACTCTTACTCACACACACTCACACACACACACTCTTACTCACACACACTCACACACACACACTCTTACTCACACACACTCACACACACACACTCTTACTCACACACACTCACACACACACACTCTTACTCACACACACTCACACACACACACTCTTACTCACACACACTCACACACACACACTCTTACTCACACACACTCACACACACACACTCTTACTCACACACACTCACACACACACACTCTTACTCACACACACTCACACACACACACTCTTACTCACACACACTCACACACACACACTCTTACTCACACACACTCACACACACACACTCTTACTCACACACACTCACACACACACACTCTTACTCACACACACTCACACACACACACTCTTACTCACACACACTCACACACACACACTCTTACTCACACACACTCACACACACACACTCTTACTCACACACACTCACACACACACACTCTTACTCACACACACTCACACACACACACTCTTACTCACACACACTCACACACACACACTCTTACTCACACACACTCACACACACACACTCTTACTCACACACACTCACACACACACACTCTTACTCACACACACTCACACACACACACTCTTACTCACACACACTCACACACACACACTCTTACTCACACACACTCACACACACACACTCTTACTCACACACACTCACACACACACACTCTTACTCACACACACTCACACACACACACTCTTACTCACACACACTCACACACACACACTCTTACTCACACACACTCACACACACACACTCTTACTCACACACACTCACACACACACACTCTTACTCACACACACTCACACACACACACTCTTACTCACACACACTCACACACACACACTCTTACTCACACACACTCACACACACACACTCTTACTCACACACACTCACACACACACACTCTTACTCACACACACTCACACACACACACTCTTACTCACACACACTCACACACACACACTCTTACTCACACACACTCACACACACACACTCTTACTCACACACACTCACACACACACACTCTTACTCACACACACTCACACACACACACTCTTACTCACACACACTCACACACACACACTCTTACTCACACACACTCACACACACACACTCTTACTCACACACACTCACACACACACACTCTTACTCACACACACTCACACACACACACTCTTACTCACACACACTCACACACACACACTCACACTCACACACACACACACACACACACACACACACACACACGCGCGCTCCCTATGTAGACAGCATCCGAAGCGCCCTAGAGTTGACACACCTCCACGAACAGCAGAGATCACAGCAGGAGTGTTGAGAGTCAATATCAGAGATCACAGTCATCTCCACACATCACAATCATCTTCATCTTCATCAATCAGCTGAAGAGAACGAATAAAGCTGCTGCTAGCATTAGCATCAGAGCACTCAGAGCTCAGCTCGGTCAGGCGCTCATTTAGAGCGCTAAAGTGCAGCAATAAAGAGTTTATTCATCGTTTACCTGTGCTGTCTGGCTGATTTCTGGCAGTTTGAAGCGCAACACGGCCGCGACTGACAGGAAAACAAACACAAATCAGCGTGTGCGTCACTTCCGGGAAATAAGCGCGTGGAGCAAAATAAAAGCTCTGACGCGACTGAGCTTTAAAAATACCTTTTATTTTAAAATTACACCTCAGGTGCAGATAATATGTGTGTGTGTGCATTAAATAGTATAATAATAATAATAATAATAATATTAACTAACATTATCATGCGCATTGAATAATAATCAGAATATTAAGCCTTTGAATCTTTGTTTGTTTTTAAATTACCTTTTTATTTGTACTCTTTAAGCCCTGATGAAGCCGAAATAACAATTCAAATAATAACATTATTTAAACGAAAGCATTGCTGTCTCTGTCTGTCTTCAGGTCTTAACATGCAAATGCATCCGTTGAACTACACCTCCCACAATGCACCGCGCCCGCCAGCCAGTGCGGGGTTAGAGGGCGCGTCGCCATGGCAGCGGCTGGTTGTGACATCAGCGCCATTTTGCTTGAGTGTTGTGATGGAAGCAGCGAGAAAATCAGAATCCGACGGAAAAACACCGAAAATCAGACGCGAATCAGACAAATTCAGACCAGAGGGAGCCGATTCGGCGAATCAGACGGAGTCGCGTCGAGAATCTGGACTGAAGTCGCTCGGAGGCGGAGCGATCTGCGATAACAGGTTTGATTTTCACTAAAACGCGTCAGGTTTCAGTCAGCTTCGCGTGTAAGTTGTGCGTGGGTGTTTTTAAATAGCGTATTGTCGATTAATTCTGCCGCGTGTTGTCGATTTGCTAGAAAACCGCGAAAATCCCAGACAAACGTCGTTAATGCTGAAGAATCGCCTCACGATTAAACGCGTGTCAGATGCGAGAATCTCGAGGGAATGCTGCAGAAGAGCCACCGGTGGTTTCCCGCCGAATACTTAACGAATAATCGTCACTGAATCGATTTGGAAAACCAGCCGTTTCTGTGGCTTCGAGTTCTGTAGTCCGCTACTGATTACAGATTACAGTAACGTAATCCGTTACATTAGGCTGCACATTTTAGGTAATATAATCAGATTACTTTGAGATTACTCGTTTATCATATTGAATTAAATAGGACAATCTTGTACCATATTGATATAAAAAATGCAAAGAAAAAGTAAATATATTACATTTGTTGTTATTTACAACAGAAAGTGGATTAAACATTACATTATGCCAAGGTTTCCTAAACTGGGGCTCATAACGGAACTGCAGGGGGTTCGTGAGTTTAATAAAAAGCAAATAATTAAATCATAAAAATGTAAAATTAAAATAACACTAAAAAAAATCACTATTTTATTTGTTTACCTGCATGTCATTAATGTCAGAGAACCGTGAACATGCAAATGTGATACTGAATTATTAAAATATTTATTTTTAAGTCTCAAGTGACAAACACGTTTGGGAATAAAGTGAATTTGTGCATTTAAAAGACAAAAGCCTTCCAAAGACATAACAAAACATGGTTAAATAACCCACTGAGCGCTAACTCAAATAAACATGAGTGTGTTCATCAGTAGTTGATGCAATGTTGAAATATTGAGAAAACGCTTCTTAAAACTGAAATGATTTCTGTAAATCCAGTGCTCAGATGCTGTGTGTTTTCTGTGTAATTAGACGCCGGACTAGTGAAGAAAAGGCGTAAAGAGGTGGGATATTTTAGAAAGGCACATCTAAAAGATGGATTTTGGAGAATCAATACATTCTGAATAATGTATTGCTATTGTGTGAATAATATGTAATCATGTAATCGATAAAAAACTAACTAGTCTGATTGCACGTATTCTAAAATGTAATTGAATCTAATTACAAGTACTTAATTTTTGGATGTGATCAGTTACTACCAGCTCTGGCTGTTAAATATAGCAGCATGTGTTGTGGTGTTTGACAGCAGCTGCTCTCTGTTTTAAGCATCTCAGCAGCTTCAGCGGAGTCAAACGCTGTGTTTTTACGACAGATAGACAGCTGTCTCTCTCACCCCTGCAGCACAAAAGCAGTCTTAAGTCGCTGGGGTATATTTGTAGCAATAGCCAACAATACATTGTATGGGTCAAAATTATACATTTTTCTTTTATGCCAAAAATCATTAGGATATTAAGTAAAGATCATGTTCCATGAAGATATTTAGTAAATTTCCTACCGTAAATATATCAAAACTTAATGTTTGATTAGTAATATGCATTGCTAAGAACTTCATTTGGACAACTTTAAAGATGATTTTCTCAATATTTAGATTTTTTTGCACCCTCAGATTCCAGATTTTCAAATAGTTGTATCTCGGCCAAATATTGTCCTATCCTAACAAACCATACATCAATGGAAAGATTATTTATTCAGAAAAATTGACCCTTATGACTGGTTTTGTGCTGCAGGGACACATATTTAGATCTAAAGTGTTTTCCTGTGGATTCCAGGTCTGTCGCCGCATCATGTGACGCTTCCCGTCCCTCATCACCATGATCGATTCCCGTGCGTCCCTGCCTCCGTCTGGACTCTGATCAGCAGCATCCATGATGATTTATGGGCTGATTCCTCAGGAGTTACACGCGCAGCTCCTGGACCTCCAGAACTATCAGAAGCGGACCAGCGGCGTGGAGGAGCTGAAGAACCTCCTCCTGGAGCTGGATCTCCAGCAGGTCTCCTCCGGCAGCATCGTGGAGTTCATCCAGTTCTTACGCGAGCTCCTGGACGACAGCAACTTCAAGGTGTTGTACGGCGCGCTGCAGCTCATCAACCTGCTGATCGAGAAGCTGGAGTGTGATGTGGAGCGCTATTATAAGGAGATCGTGGGCGTGACGGTGCGAGCGCTGGGTGACTCGCGGAACGTGACGCGGCACGAGTACATGAGCGTCTTCAGGCAGCTGATGAGGATGGTGGGGCCTCAGAAGGTTCTGGATCTGGTGGTGGCTCAGCTCAAGCACAGGAACTCCAGGGTTCGAGAGGACGTCATCAACATCATCACGGCTGCCATGCTCACACACCCGCGCAAGGACTTCGACGTGGATCGAGCCGGAGGCGCCGAGGGCCTCATGGCTGCTGTACAGGCGCGGCGTGCGCGGCACATACTCCACATACTCCCTGCCGACGGCACCGTCGAGTACGCACTCGCTCTTCCTAAACCGGGACAGAGACGGACGCCTCAGCTGGGCTCCGGGGCCGATCTGGACTGGGTTCTGAATGGAGGCCGGGTTCACAGCTCTCGCTCAGACGTGGATCTGACAGATAACACGCCTCAGCAGAGGAGGATGGTGAGCGCTGGCAAGAACAAACTGCCCTGGGAGAGATCGGCCCTCTCTGTGGAGCTTCAGACCAATGGAGGGTCACCTGATCAGGTGAGCGATGACATCAGCATCATCACACACACACCTGAGATCTCTAAAAGTTTCTCAGGCTTTGAAATGATCAAACTCTGCTGTCACTCAATCTGCTGCACGTCTTCTGTCTCCGATTGAGAGTTTAGAGAGTTTTATGCAGTCGAAGCTCTTTCAGTGTAATTCTCGATCTTGACTGGTTTTGATCAAGTAAGCGTCAGAATAACTGCAGTAATATCTCCAGATGAACACTTACTGGACTGAAGCAGCTCAGCTTTACTTGATTCTCCATCAATCATATTTTAGAGTCTCAAATCTGATCCTCAGGATCTTTTGAGGAGCGTTTGTTTCCAGAAGCTTTACTTTCACTGTTCCTCAGCGGAGGAATGATCTTCACAAGCCTCCAGAACATCTCACATCTTCTGAGGAGCCTTTATTTCTTCAGCTC